AGGCTGAGGCTGAGGCTGAGGCAGGCTGAGGCTGAGGCTGAGGCAGGCTTATGCTGAGGCAGGCTGAGGCTGAGGCTGAGGCTGATGCAGGCTGAGGCTGAGGCAGGCTGAGGCTGAGGCCGAGGCTGAAGGCAGACTGAGGCTGAGGCTGAAGCAGGCTGAGGCTGAGGCTGAGGCAGGCTGAGGCTGAGGCTGAGGCATGCTGAGGCTGAGGCAGGCTGAGGCTGAGGCTGAGGCTGAGGCTGAGGCAGGCTCAGGCTGAGGCAGGCTGAGGCTGAGGCCGATGCTGCAGGCAGACTGAGGCTGATGCAGGAGCAGGCTGAGGCTGAGGCTGAGGCAGGCTGAAGCTGAGGCTGAGGCTGATGCTGAGGCAGGCTGAGGCTGAGGCTGAGGCTTAGGCATGCTCAGGCTGAGGCAGGCTGAGGCTGAGGCCGAGGCTGCAGGCAGACTGAGGCTGATGTAGGAGCAGGCTGAGGCTGAGGCTGAGGCAGGCTGAAGCTGAGGCTGAGGCTGATGCTGAGGCAGGCTGAGGCTGAGGCTGAGGCTAATGTAGGCCACTGCGACTGTCATCGCGAATGCGACTACGACTGCGAGAACAGCAGAACTCTACGACTGGATTCTCATCTGAATCTTAAGGGGGATGCTTTCAGATATGCTCCTACACATCGCTGTTAGGTTGCTTTGCCGGGATAATTACGGTTGAAACCCATGCCGAGAAATTTTCTGCTTGCCTCCAGGGTGCCCTGGGTTTCTTGGGTCTCGATGGTTCTGCTATGGAGAGCGTGACGCTCCCACACCAGGAATCAGCGGACGTCCTGGGGTCTCAGGGTTGGGTTTCTTTTGGTCGAGCTCATACTGAAGAACGACATAAACATGAACACTCGGAGCTCCTCGCGGATTTCTCGGATCGGCGTGCGCCAGGGGCGGCGCCAGAGGCGCCGCCCATGGGATCCAGGCGCCGATGCGAGGAGTCCGCGCGGGCCTCCGAGTTGTTATGCTTTTGTCACTGCTCGATCCCCAAATTGCAGGAAGGAAAAAACACACAGACACAATTAATCGTCGATTCCCCAGAAAATATGGGAAAATGTGGGAAGTGGGGGGCAGACAGAAACCCCAAAAATATATGAAAATATTTGGAGCATTGTTATTTAATCACTTCGCTCATTCCGCCGGCCCTGGAGCGCTATTTGGAGCCTCTTGGAGCCGTCTTGGGGGCCTCTTGGGGGCTTCTTGGGAGCGTCTTGGGGCTCCTTGGCGGCGTCTTGGGCTCCCCTGGGGCCTCTCAGGGGGCTCTTGGGGGCCCCTTGGGGCGGGAGGGGGGGTAGTCGATTGCAGCCACCCCCTCTGAGGCCACGATCCTGATGAGGGGTGGCGAAAAATAGCCTCCCCCTGGGGGATCGCCTGGGACCCGGCCGGGGATCCGCCGGGGCACTTTCCGTCCGGGGGCCCCCAGGGGCCGGTCCCCCGCGCGCGCGGATCAGACATATTGTTATAAGCAGCTGCCGGAGATCTCAGCACGCCTCTGGCCCGTGGGGCCGGCGAATTTGCGTGTATTTCTTTGTGTGTCCTTGGGCCCCTTCAAAAGAGCCTGTTTTTTTATAGGCTCTGGCAAGTTTACTTGCATGGACGGGGGGGGGGGCTTGGCCGAAGCACCTGAAGCAAGCCTGGGGCGGGGGCGCGGCAGAGCAGCAAGTCGAAGAGCACTTTGCACGCTAGTATTCGCTATTAAGAGTTCGAGTGGGGGGGGGTAGGGGGGCCCCCAATGGGCGAACAGCCCTGCAAGGACCACTTGCCCGAGTCAAAAAAAAAACAGGCTCTTGGGCCCCTTCCAAATTGAAGCAGCTTTGACCGTGCCGCGTCACCGAGAGAGCTGCGGGCCCGCGACGGCCCCGCGCTCCTGCGGCCTGCGGCGGGGCGCGCGGGCGGTCCGCCGCTGTATGGGGGCGCCCGCCCCGCTGCCGTCCCTCGCACGACGCGCGCCCCCGGCCGGCGGGGAGCAGCTTCGACGGCCCTGCAGGGCCAGGAGCACCTTGGCGATGTAGCTCGATGCTCGTTTCGGGGACCTTCCTGGAGCCCACCTAACGGATCTGTTCGACCCCAGTTCGACTCAAGTTCGACTCAAGTTCGACTCAAGTTCTACTCAGGTTCGACTCAGGTTCGACTCAGGGCCGCCCCTGCGGGGGGCGCCTTCCCCGCTGCCGTCCCTCGCACGACGCGCGCCCCCGGCCGGCGGGGAGCAGCTTCGACGGCCCTGCAGGGCCAGGAGCATCTTGGCGATGTACAGTCGGGGCCTTGAAAAAGGAACCCTGTTCGTTGGGGAGGGGCTCGGCGTTCCTTGAATGTTTCGCAGCTTTCCTCGGGTTTTCCGGAGGTTTTCCATGGGAAATCGAGGTTGAACTTATGGGAAACAGGGGCCTCGTTCCTTATTTAGGGTTCCTTGGGTCAACGCCCCGACTGTAGCGAGGATCTAGAGAGCAGCTTCGACGGCCCTGCAGGGCCAGGAGCATCTTGACGATGTAGCTCAGGAGGGGAGAAAACACACAGACACAGTTCATCGTCGATCCCCCAGAAAAGATATGGGAGAATATGGGAAGTGGTGGGGAAGACGAAAGCCCAGAACATCTAGGAAAATATGGGGAATGTGTTTATTTGTGTGTATTTATGTGTGTGTCCTGGGGCCCCTTCAGTAGCGAGGATCTAGAGAGGCGCCCAGGATCATTATCACCATCATCGTCATCAGCAGCATCAGCATCATCATCAGATGGGAGAGCGTCAATTATCCCCCCTGGGCCCCGAACTCTATTACTATCCCCAGGGGTTAAAATACCAGGGGCATGCGGTGGTTATGTGACGCTTGTCCACCACTTGGTCGCAGATGTCGAAGAGCAAGCACGGCATAAACGTAAACTTTTGGAGCTCCAGCGCAGATCCAAAAAGTCCGCGCGGAACGCGAAAGTTTATGTGTATGTCGTTATTGCTTCTTCTAAGGTGGCGGCTCAAACACACTATGTTTGTGTCTCAACACCCGTCGCCCAGAGAGCCAGCCAGACACATATAAGTTATACTTTGTCCCGTGGCGTTTCTGCGAAGCCCCATTGAACAGGTCCGAGACACCTGAGTGTTCATATGCGCGGTTCCAAGTCCTGTCCTGTCTTTCCACGGCCCATTTCGACGTGATCGACCCGTGCCGATGTCGATCTTGGCCAGCTCGATCGGGCTCGACTCCGACAATCCGCCGATCCGATGCGGTCCCATGTCTGCATGGCGCTGGCGTGCATCCTGGTGCAGCCGATCCGACTCAGTCCTGACTCCGTGCCGGTGCGGCTGGATGCGACGCACAGCCCGACGCTGGGCAGCTTTCCCACCACCACCACCACAGGAAGACGAGGGAGGAGGAGCAGGAGGAGGAGGACCTCGTCCTCCCTTCGCCCCCGTCCTACATGATGGTACAGTGCCGTTTTTGATACATGCTCCGCGTGCGGATCATGTATTAAACATGCAGGGAATTTAGTTTTAAAAACAACGATGAGTTCATGCATACTTTTATCCATACATTAATCATGTAAAACCTGATGTTTTTTTAATAAAAAAATTCGATGGATTGAAAACTGCCCTGCGCAGTGGTGTTGGGGGCGGACGCCTGGCCCACGGAGTCCGGTGCGAGCCGCTGCCCGCTCTGCTGCGGCCTGGCCGGGCCCCCCCTCTCCTGCCCCGTGCCGCGCCCTGCCTCGGCGCGCTCCCCCCTCGGTGGGCGACGCCTCCGGCCCGCAGACCTCCAGGCCTGCCCCAGGCAGGCTCGTCTCGATTCTTCGATATTCGACTTCGAGGGCCTCTCCGGTTCCGATCGGGGGGCCGCAGGCGAACCCTGCCCCTGCCCCCCACGATGTCTGAGGGGGAGGGTGGGTCTTCATGCGGGACGGGAAAATGACCACAGCCACTGCTTCTTGTTTGCGCCGCCTTCCAGCCGGCCGAAAAAGAAGCAGTGGTTGTGGTCATTTCCCTGGTGCCAAGCTCCACGAAGATGACCACAACCACTGCTTTGTTTCTGCTGGCTGGAAGGCGGCAGCAAAAGAAAAGCAGTGGCTGTGGTCGTTTTCACGTCCCGTACTTCACTTCGCTCGGAGGCTCCCGAGCGAAGTGAACCCCACGCTCCCCCTCGGAAGTCGGGGGGGGGTAGGCGCAGGGTTCGCACGCGGCCCCCTAGACGCCTCGGGCCCCTGGTCCTCCAGGTCTGCCCCAGGCAGGCTCGCTTCGATTCTTCGATATTCGACTTCGGTGGCCTCCTCGATTTCGGATTCCGATTTGGGCTCCGATGTCTTCGATGGCATCTCGATTCTTCCGATTCGGACTTCGATGGCCTCTCGATTCTTCCGATTCGGACTTCGATGGCCTCTCGATGCTTCCGATCCGCTTTGATTTCGGCTTCCGATCTGGGCTCCGATGACTTTTTGGAGGCATATCTCGGCTGCCGACTTCCGCCGATTCGGCTTCTCCCGGCTCGGTTGCCAGTTCCGCCGATCCGATTCATGTCGATCGCCGATCCGGTTTATCGATCGATTCTGGTCCCTCCTGCCGAAGAGCCTGGCCGCTCAGAGAGAAACGGACACTCTGGGATATACCCCTGGGGCGCTGTTCGGACGCACCCCCGTCGAGGAGGTGGACGCGCTCCCCACCCTATATCCCCGAGACTGGTCTCCGAAAGTTCTAAGATGAAGCCGGGCACATCCCTCTACAGGATGAGGATTCAAGAATCAATTTCTGAATATTATTCAACTATTGATTATTTTTCTTCCAAAATCCGCCAGTAGGAGGACATGCCCGACCTGACTCTAAGCCCCACAACATGTCGGGAACTAGGGCCGCCACGCTCCCCGCTGCGTCCTCCTCGAGCAGTGGCGAAGCGTCCTGGCTCGCTTATAGGCCCACCATGTCGTCGCAGGCCTACAGGATTGCCGGGACGGTCGGTCCCCGCTCGACTTCCTTCCTCCCCATCCCCCGAGGAGGCCGAGTGGGTCCACTTCCTGGACGTCTTCGGCCCCGCCGGCAGGGCCGCTGAAAACCTCTTCCACATGGAGCCAGCCTACGCCGACGCGGCCGTGCAGCGGCTGCGCGCGCGCGTCCTGCAGGCGGGGCAGGCCGAGGCGTGAGTTGCCGAGCAGCCCGCCCCAAGCGGATGGGCGGGAGGGTGAGGAGGAGGAGGAGGAGGAGGAGGAGGAGGAGGAGGAGGAGGAGAGAGGAGGAGGAGGAGGAGGGAGGAGGGGAGGAGGAGGGAGGAGAGGGAGGAGGGGAGGGAGGGAGAGGAGGAGGAGGAGGGGAGGAGAGGAGGAGGAAGGTAAAGGAGGAGGAGGAGGCGCCTCGAGGGGGGGCCCCATCCAGGCCCTGGCGTCGCGGGCCCTCTTCGCGCGCGCCGGGCGTGTGGCGCCCCTTACGAGGGAGTCCTCCTCCCTCCTCCTCCTCTCCTCCTCCTCCTCCTCCTGCTCCTCTTCCTCCTCCTCCCACCTCCTTCTCCTCCTCCAGGAACCGGCATGCACAGAAACTGCCGAGGGCCCGCGTGGGTTTCTTGGATCTTCACTGGAGCCTGTCATGGCGCCTCCGGCGCCGATCTCGGAAGTCCGGCTCAGGCATTGCTTGCGTTCTCTCAATCTCTCTCTCTCTCTCTGCCCGGTTGAAGCATATCCCAATCTTTCTGTCCGGCATCCTCTTATTACCTCGATGGCGCTCTAAAGGATTGTCGGTTGTCGCAGTTTCTGAGGGCAGTTTCCTTGGATTGTCATCGCGTTTGGCTTGCCCACCTGAGGTCACCGAGCGCGTTCCACTGCACGCAAAGTGCCTACTCGCAAACGTCCGAAACCACACATGTCGGCTTCGATGCCATGTACCGTAGATCCCCCGCGGCGGATCCAGGCCATTTGCGAGTAGTTACTTGGCCAGTAGTGGAACGCGATCGTCTGTTAGGGATAGGGGTAGGTTCGAGTCTGGTCATGTCTATCAGGCTCGGGCCCCAGGACCCTCGCAGGCCGACCGTGCTCAAGGAATGCAGTCGAGGCGCCGAAGCAAGGGCCACGTTGGGCTCAGGATAAGTCGGGCATGTCCCTCTACAGGGGGCATATTCCAAAATAGTCGAAGCACAGTCTGGGAACGATTGCTTCAGTAGCGCTGAGCATCTCCTGCTTCTGTTTTGGCTATTCTGCGCTTGTGTTTTGCCCAACATGCGCCTGTAGGAGGCCGCGCCCGACCCGAGCCACGGAGTGGCTGGGGCTGTTGGACCGCTCCTGAGACCCACAGGTCGGGGAACCTTTTCGTGTCTGAGGCCCGCCGTGGCCGCAGCCCCCGCCGTCCCTGCTTTTTGGCGCGCCTGCCGGCAGAGCCGCGACCTGCACGGTGGCCTCGCGTCGTGTCGACTGGCGGTGGCCCCGCCGCCGGCGTTCAAGGTGGAACGCCGCGGGCGGCCCAGGATCTTCCTCCTCCTCCTCCTCCTCCTTCTCCTCCTCCTCCTCCTTCTCCTTCTGCTCCTGCTCCTCCTCCTCCTCCTCCTCCTCCTCCTCCTCCTCCTCCTCCTCCTGGCCAAGATTGATTCAATCTGACGCTTCGGAAACGGTCGAGCGTTCATGGTCGAACGATCCCCGCGGTGTCAGAAGCCAGCGCCGAAGTCGGCACGACGCGAACCCGCCGTGGGCTGCCGAAGGATGGTGTCGAGGGTTCGGGCCGTGATTTCCTACGAGGTCGCAAATCTCGCGACGTCGGATCTCAGAGGGGTGGCGCGAGGGGGGGAGGGCCTTTCAAGAAGGCCGTGAGCTTCGCAAAAGGCGGGGGCCTTCTTCTTTCGAGCAGGAGATCGACTACATTACCCCAGTACGACCCCACCTAGAAGTTGGAGCCCCTACGAAAGCAACATTAGTTGCGATGCTATGCTATGCCATGCTATGCTGCGCTATGTTATGCTATGCTATGCTATACGGCGCTATGATATGCTCTGCCATGCTGTGCTATGTTAAGCTATGCTATGTCATGCCGCGCTGTGCTGCGCTATGCTATGATATGCTCTGCTATGCTGCGCTATGATATGCTATGAGATGCTAGGCTATGCTATGGCATGCTGTGCTGCGCTATGATACGATATGCTATGCTGTGATTTGCTATGCTAAAGCTCAGTGACGCTAAGATGAAGGTAAGCTAAACTAAGATAAGCCTGAGCTAAGATGAAGCTAAGCTAAGCTAAGTTGAAATAAGCTAAGCTAAGATGAGATAGGCGTCGCTAAGCTAAGGGGACGTAACTGGGGAAACCGCGGGGCGGATACTGGGGGAACCGCCCGGGGCGCTTTCCACTGCCCGGCCCCTTCAAGCCCAGAGAATAAGAACCCTTCCAGGCAGAGCCTAGGTAGGGAATCCTTGATTTGTCCGAAGGTTGGTTTCTTGGTCGGATCTAAGATAGACGCGTCGAATCCCCCTTGATCTACCTGGGTAATCGAAGGCCAGACTGTCAGATTGGATTGGGCCCCAAAGGCCAATCTGGCCTGGCCAAGCTGGACGATTTGGGTTATTCGCCAGACTGGATTCGCGTTGGCTCCCTCGCCAGACTGCCCCCGTTTGCCAGATTGGGCCTGCCAGATTGGCGCCAGATTGGCTTCGACTACCCAGTCTACGAAGACCAGGAGATTGCTTGATGATCCGACGAACAGAGGCAGCTGTGGGGCAAATCTATTGCGCATTCGATCCCCAGCTCGGCTCGCAGAAGTCAGGAGGAAAAAAAACACAGACACAATTAATCGTCGACTCCCCAGAAAATATGGGAAAATATGGGAAGTGGGGGGGGAGACGAAAACCCAGAAAATATTGGAAAATGTGGGGGACATTCTTATTTGTGTATTTATTTGTGTGTCCCAGTTCCCCTTCAAGAAGGGCCCGCGAACTTCTGGGAAGGCCCGGCAGAGGCTGGGCGGGCTCCCCCGAGAAGCCGCCCTGCCTCGCGAGGCGCGCCCCCCTCGCGCCCGCGGGGCCTCGCACGGGGGGGAGGTTGGCCCAAGGCTGGGTCCGAGAGCGAACCCACTTCTTCCAGGAGCCTTCTCCTCCTCCTCCCTCCTCCTCCTCCTCCTCCTCCTCCTCCTCCTCCTCCTCCTCCTCCTCCTCCTCCTCCTCCTCCTCCTCCTCCCCTCTCCTCCCTCCTCCCTCCTCCTCCTCCCCTCCTCCTCCCCTCCTCCCTCCTCCTCCTCTCTCCTCCCTCCCTCCTCCCTCCTCCTCCTCCTCCTCCTCCTCCTCCTCCTCCTCCTCTCCTCCTCTCCTCCTCCTCCTCCTCCTCCTCCTCCTCCCATCCTCCTCCATCCTCCCTCCTCCCCTCCTCCCTCCTCCCTCCCTCCCTCCTCCCTCCTCCCTCCTCCCTCCTCCCTCCTCCCTCCTCCCTCCTCCTCCTCCCATCCTCCCTCCTCCCTCCTCCGCTCCCTCCTCCTCCTCCCTCCCTCCTCCCTCCTTCCTCCTCCCTCCTCCTGCCCCCCCCGAGCCGCTTCGAGTGATCTGCCTCCCAACCCCGCCACTGCCCCTGCCCCACCTTGTATTCCGGGGGGCGGAAAATGGCACGAACACGAAACAACTCGGAGGTCCGCGCGGATTTCTCGGATCGGCGCTGGACCCCCCTCCCTGGCGCGCGGAGCGCGCCAGGGTCGGCGCCGCAGCGCCACCAGGGGTTTCCTGCGCGGATCCGGGAAAATCCGCGCGGTCCTCTGCGTTTTTGTGTCCCCCCCGACCGCCCCCCCCCCCGCCCGCCTGTCGGGCCGGGCGAAACGGGGGGATTGGGAAAGGGGGGTTACGAAATTTGCTGCACGGAGCTGGTTTCGGCTTCACCGAGGGGCCCATTCCTCGATATACATAGCCCCTTTCGGCGCTGGGAGGCGCCGGGACAATCAGCTACGTGAGCTGAGTCTCAAAAGCCCCCCCTTTGTTATCCCCCCTTTCGCCCCCACCCCCCCCCCCGCCCGCTTGCTTCGGAGGCCGCCCTTCCCCCCCTGCCGACTCCGGCGTGGCCGCACCGGCGGCTCCGCACGGTGGCCCCCGCCCGGGAGCGCTGCCGGGCGCTCCGCCTGCGGGGGCGCCCGTGCCCAACAGGGGCGCGGCAGCTGGCGGAGGAGAAGTGCGGCCGTGGCCATCGTCGTGGTCGTCGTCCTCGAGGAGGTCGTCGTCGTCGTCGTCGTCGTCGTCGTCGTCGTCGTCGCGTCGTCGTCGTCGTCGTCGTCGCGTCGTCGTCGTCGTCGTCGTCGCGTCGTCGTCGCGGTCGTGGTCGTCGTCGTCGTCGTCGCGTCGTCGCCTCGTCGTCGAGGTCGTCGTCGAGGTCGTCGTCGCTGCGGCGGCCATGGCCGTGGCCGTGGTCGTCGTCGTCGCCCGCCGGCGCCCCCCACAGGCCGCGGGCCGCCCGCCCCCCCCCGATCTCGGAGGTGGTGGTGAGACTCTGGCTTCCGAGGCGGCCGAAAAATGACCACCAGCACCGAAATCCAGGATCATCTTCCCCCCCGTGAAGGCAACCCCCTGTGTTGCTGTTGGTGCCCATGTCCAGGCCTCCAAAATTGGGCACGGAAACTGTGGGTGCCAAGTCCGACAGGTGATCTTTTTCTTATGCTTTGTTGGGCCATTCGGCGCGGGCCCTCGCACCCCCCACCCCTCCATGGAGTAGACCCCCTTGGCTGCCCTTCGCGCCTGTTTCGGGCTGCTGGAGCCTCCCCCGTGGGACGCACTGCTGCAAACAGTCGCGCTGAGCAGTGGTCCAGAGCCAGGCCTCCCCCCCCCCCCCACCTGTCACCCAATGCCGAAGCGCCAGATAAAAAAAACACGCTCACCAGCAGATCTTGTCCATTCTGCCCAGGATTCGGTGCCGCCGTCGACGCGGCGGACGTTGCCCAATCGAGACTGAAGGCCACCTGCCCAACAGCGGCCGCTGTCTGTTTTGGACAAAGTCTGCTGTTGAGCGTCGCCCGAGAAATACCAAACACCATGCGCATAAACTCTTGGCGCGCCGCGCGGATTTTTTGGATCGGCGCTTGGGCCCCCGTCCCCGGCGGCGCCTCCGGCGCCACCGGGGCGCTCCGCGCGCCAGCGAGGGTGGCCCGGCGCGGATGCAAGAAGTCCGCGCGGAGCGCCAATAGTTCATCATTATGCCGGTTTTTCGTTTTCCAATCGTGCAGTCGGGGCCCTGAAGAACCCTTTTCGTTGGGGAGGGGCTCGGTGTTCCTTGATTGTTCTACAGTTTGCCTTCTGTTTTCCTGAGGTTTTCCATGGGAAGTCGAACTTTCACTGATGGGAGAAAGGGGCCCCGTTCCTTGTGTAGGGTTCCGTAGGTCAACGCCCCGACTGGACCATTCTTTTTCGTGCTCTTTTCGGGCGTCCCCCAAAAAGTGTCGGGTGTGCCGCCTCGACCCCTCCGTGCTCTCCCCGCCTCCCCTTCGGCCTCCCCCCCTCCGTCCTGTCCGCCACCCCCTCGTCCCCCCTCCTCTGCCTCCTCCTGCTCGCGCTCCTCGTCCTTCTTACCCTCGCCTGCCATTGCCCAATCCCTCCGTCTCCCTCCTCCCCCACTCGAAGAAGAAATCACGCCATAAACATAAACTGCTGGCGCTCCGCGCGGATCTCTTGGATCCGCGTTGGGGCTCCCCGGCGGCGCCTCCAGCGCCGCCCCTGGCGCGCTCCGCGCGCCAGGGAGGGGGCTCCAGCGCGGGTCCAAGCAATTCGCGCGGAGCGCCAACAGTTTATATTTATGCCGTTGTTTTTCATTTATCTTCTTCATCTTCTATTGCAGGCCGCCGACACGGGGTCGTAGCGGATGGGGTCGGAGGGCCGCTCCGCACCGCCGTTGCAGTGGCGATGCGGTGCGATGCACCCCCCGACCGCTCCACTTGTTCTGGCGCCGGTTGGGCAGCCCCCCCCCTCTTCTCGGGGACGTCCACCAGGAGGGCGGGGACAAGGGCGTCCTGGCCCCCTCATCTTGCTCCCCTGCGCCTTGCGGCCTCCCCCTCTCGTCCGCGCTCGTGTCTCGGGGCGTGGTGCGCTGCCCCAACTCCCGGACCTCCTGCTTCGGCGCACCCGATGAATCCTGGCAACCGCCGACATCCACCCGATCCATGCCACTTCCTTGGCGATTACTTGCAGGCATCCACAGCTCTGGCGTGTAACGATATGCAACGCCCACTATCCTGTTTTTTGTTCTTCCACTCCTCGCCCCCCTCCCCATCAAATTCCGTCGACGACTGCCGACGAAGGCTACTGTTTCTGCGAACTTGATGAAAGAGCAATGGCGAGTTACTTGAGACGACGATCGATGCCGACGAAGGACGATGATGCATTATTACCAACGACAAACACAACGTGGACGATGACCGACAACAGCGACGAGCGACGAGTGACGACGACGACCGACGAGTGACGACGACCGACGACGGCCTCATCTGTAGAAGTAGGGCCGGCGCGTTCTGCGAAGCAGCCTCCTTCTGAGAAGCCTCCCCCCTCCCCCTGCCCCTCGACTGCGCGCCGTCAATCCTCCTCCTCCTCCTCGCGACTCGGACCTTCTCCTCCTCCTCCTCCTCCTCCTCCTCCTCCCTCCTCCTCCTCCTCCCTCCTCCTCCTCCTCCTCCCTCCTCCTCCCTCCTCCTCCCTCCTCTCCCTCCTCTCCCTCCTCCTCCTCCTCCTCCCACTCCTCCTCCTCCTCCTCGCGGGTCCGCGTCGCTGGCCGCCGCCGCCGCCGCCGCCGTCGGCACCCGTGCGGTGGGCCGCCGCCGCCGCCGCCGGCCGGGCCTCTGCAGAGGAGCGCGCGCGGGAGCTGGTGCGCCTGCAGGCCCGTGGCGAACCCCCCCCCCTGCCGATCCTCGTTGATCCTCTCGACCCTCCTCCTCCTCCCTCCTCCTCCTTCCTCCATCCTCCTCCCCCTCCTCCTCCTCCTCCTCGATCCTCCTCCCCCTCCTCCTCTTCCTCCTCCTCCTCGATCCTCCTCCTCCTCGATCCTCCTCCCCCTCCTCCTCGATCCTCCTCCTCCTCCTCGATCCTCCTCCTCCTCCTCCTGTTCCTTTTTCTCCTCTTCCTCGAATCTCCTCCTCCTCATCATCCTCCTCCTCTCGTCCTTTCGGTCTCTCGATCCTTCTCATCTTCCTCGACCTCTTGAGGTCTCCTCCCCGACGGCCGGCCTTGGGATCAGCGAGGAGGAGGAGGAGGAGGAGGAGGAGGAGAACGACGACGACGACGATCACGACGACGGCCACGACCACGACCACGACCGTGAGACCACGAGACCACGAGACGACGAGACCACGATACATGATCCACGACCACGGCCACCACCGACGACGACGACGACGACGACGACGACGACCATGGGCGGGGTGCTCCTCTGCCTCCATGTTCCTATTCCTCCTCGGTCTCCTCGCTGAATCGGCGCAGGCCCGCCCTCGTCCACTTCTGCTGCGGGATCGGTGGCTCATTGCTCGCTGTCGTCCTCTTGGCCGCTTCGTTCGTTCTCGGCTCTTCTGGGCCACTTACACGCCTCCTTTGCCCGACGACACCAGACCCCCGAGCGCCTTCACCTTTCCCTTGTTACCTCCTCCTCCTCCTCGTCCTCCTCCACATCCTCCTCCTCGTCTTGACGACAACTAATTGCAGTCGCAGCTTAGCAGCAGCACAGTTATCTTATTGGCGAACTGACGACGGGGGTTAGAACAACGTCTTTAACGCCCTGTCCCAAGCTAGAAGCGTCTTTTCGTCGAGTTGCTCACAAACGGTTTCGAAGGGCTTGAGTATTGAGCTGCAAACCCCCTCACGACATCAGACCCCCAAGCGCCTGCACATTTTCCTTTCTACTTCTTCTCCTCCTCTTCCTCCTCCTCATTCATCCCTTCTGTCCCAGGGACGTCAAGGTCCGCCCGCCCGACCCGACCCGCCCGTCATAGGGTCCGCCGACCTGCTCCCCCGTCTGCCCCCCTCTGCGAGACCCTGCGAAACGAGATCTGGCGAAACGAGCCCCGGCGAAACCAGCCCTGGCGACTCCCGCGAAACGAGCCCCATGGCGAAGCGAGACGCCGGCGAAACGAGCCGCGAAGCGAGCCCTGGCGAAGTTTATTCTGCACGAGCGAGATGGCCACCGAAAGAATGGGTACAATGCCCAACAGCAGTCCCTATTCATTTTGAACAGGACTCGCTGTCCGCGCCGCCGCGGCATGTGTCCATTCGAGACAGAAGGCCGCCTGCCCAACAGCGGTCGCTGTTGGTTTGGGACGGCATTTGTTGTTGGGCATTGTGCCCATTCTCTCGGTACCCATTTCGGGTGTCCAAATTTAGAGCCTGTTTTTTTTAGACTCTGGCAAGTTTACTTGCATGGACGGGGGGGGGGGCTGAGCCTGAAGCAAGCCGGGGGGTGGGGGCGCGGATCACGCAAGTCGAAAGGCACTTGCACGCTAGTACTCGCTTGAAGAGGGGCGAGAGGGGGGGGGGGGGAGGGGGGGGGGGCGAACGCCATGCAAGTAAACTTGCCTGAATCAAAAAAAACAGGCTCTTATAGCCCTGGCGAGATGAGACCCCGGCGAAACGAGCCCCGGCGAGACGGGAGGGGCGGCCGGCCCAGAGAATTGCAGTGGGCGAAAAAAGCGGATCGGGCGGACCGAGCCGAGCCTCGGCGAGGTGGGGCCCCGGCGAGCCGAGAGCCCCGGCGAGGCACGCCCATGGCGAGGCGAGCCCCGGCGAGCCGAGGCTCTGGCTTGTGATGTTGCAGCCTATATCTTTTTTCTCGGGGGCGGAAAAGAGGGGGGGGATGACTAGGGGGGGGGTGGATATCATGGCGTGGGCCATGATATCTCCCCAGATTTCATGGCGCCTCTTCTTATTTCATTACGTCCCTGGCCCCCCCGCTGGGCCGCGCACATGCCGCCGGTCATGATTTGCACCCCCCCCTCTTGGACACCCCCCTCTTGGCCGCTCCCGTCTTTCACCACCTACCAGACCACCCCAACCCAACCCGAAGGCCTCAATTTGCCCTCCATTTCCAGTGGGGGGGGGGTCGGGGAGCGTCGAAAAAACACATGGAACCCGTACCCCCCCCAACCCGAAGTTCGGGTCAAATTCGGGTCTTCGGGTTGGGTTGGGGTGGTTTGGTAGGTAGTCAATCTTAGCCTTGGTTCGGGCCGAAC